TGCATCAAGTCTGTTCGTGACAACTTGCATCAAGTCTGTTGATGACAACTTGCATCAAGTCTGTTCGTGACAACTTGCATCAAGTCTGTTCGTGACAACTTGCATCAAGTCTGTTCGTGACAACTTGCATCAAGTCTGTTGATGACAACTTGCATCAAGTCTGTTGATGACAACTTGCATCAAGTCTGTTGGCGACAACTTGCATCACGTTTGTTCGTGACAACTTGCATCAAGTCTGTTGATGACAACTTGCATCAAGTTTGTTGACGACAACTTGCATCAAGTCTGTTGATGACAACTTGCATCAACTCTGTTGGCGACAACTTGCATCAAGTCTGTTCGTGACAACTTGCATCAAGTCTGTTGACGACAACTTGCAACAAGCCTGTTGATGACAACTTGCATCAAGTTTGTTTGTGATAACTTGCATCAAGTCTGTTCGTGACAACTTGCATCAAGTCGGTTGATGACAACTTGCATCAAGCCTGTTGATGACAACTTGCATCAAGTTTGTTGGTGACAACTTGCATCAAGTCTGTTCGTGACAACTTGCATCAAGTCGGTTGATGATAACTTGCATCAATTCTGTTGACGACAACTTGCATCAAGTTTGTTCGTGACAACTTGCATCAAGTCTGTTGATGACAACTTGCATCAAGTCTGTTGGTGACAACTTGCATCAAGTCTGGTGATGACAACTTCCATCAAGTTTGTTGACGACAACTTGCATCAAGTCTGTTGATGACAACTTGCATCAAGTTTGTTGATGACAACTTGCATCAAGTCTGTTGATGACAACTTGCATCAAGCCTGTTGATGACAACTTGCATCAAGTTTGTTTGTGACAACTTGCATCAAGTCTGTTGATGACAACTTGCATCAAGTCTGTTGATGACAACTTGCATCAAGTTTGTTCGTGACAACTTGCATCAAGTCTGTTGACGACAACTTGCATCAAGTCTGTTCGTGACAACTTGCATCAAGTCTGTTGATGACAACTTGCATCAAGTCTGTTCGTGACAACTTGCATCAAGTCTGTTGATGACAACTTGCATCAAGTCTGTTCGTGACAACTTGCATCAAGTCTGTTCGTGACAACTTGCATCAAGTCTGTTCGTGACAGCTTGCATCAAGTCTGTTCGTGACAGCTTGCATCAAGTCTGTTCGTGACAACTTGCATCAAGTCTGTTCGTGACAACTTGCATCAAGTCTGTTCGTGACAACTTGCATCAAGTCTGTTCGTGACAACTTGCATCAAGTCTGTTGATGACAATTTGCTTTAAGTCTGTTGATGACAACTTGCATCAAGTCTGTTGACGACAACTTGCATCAAGTCTGTTGACGACAACTTGCATCAAGTCTGTTGATGACAACTTGCATCAAGTCTGTTGATGACAACTTGCATCAAGTCTGTTGATGACAACTTGCATCAAGTCTGTTGGCGACAACTTGCATCAAGTCTGTTGATGACAACTTGCATCAAGTTTGTTGACGACAACTTGCATCAAGTCTGTTGATGACAACTTGCATCAAGTCTGTTGATGACAACTTGCATCAAGTTTGTTGATGACAACTTGCATCAAGTCTGTTCGTGACAACTTGCATCAAGTCTGTTGATGACAACTTGCATCAAGTCTGTTGACGACAACTTGCATCAAGTCTGTTGGCGACAACTTGCATCAAGTCTGTTGGCGACAACTTGCATCAAGTCTGTTGGCGACAACTTGCAACAAGTCTGTTGATGACAACTTGCATCAAGTCTGTTGATGGCAACTTGCATCAAGTCTGTTGATGACAACTTGCATTAAGTTTGTTTGTGACAACTTGCATCAAGTCTGTTGATGACAACTTGCATCAAGTCTGTTGATGACAACTTGCATCAAGTCTGTTGATGACAACTTGCATCAAGTTTGTTCGTGACAACTTGCATCAAGTCTGTTGACGACAACTTGCATCAAGTCTGTTCGTGACAACTTGCATCAAGTCTGTTGATGACAACTTGCATCAAGTCTGTTCGTGACAACTTGCATCAAGTCTGTTGATGACAACTTGCATCAAGTTTGTTGACGACAACTTGCATCAAGTCTGTTGATGACAACTTGCATCAAGTTTGTTGATGACAACTTGCATCAAGTCTGTTGATGACAACTTGCATCAAGTCTGTTGATGACAACTTGCATCAAGTCTGTTGATGACAACTTGCATCAAGTTTGTTCGTGACAACTTGCATCAAGTCTGTTCGTGACAACTTGCATCAAGTCTGTTCGTGACAACTTGCATCAAGTCTGTTCGTGACAACTTGCATCAAGTCTGTTCGTGACAGCTTGCATCAAGTCTGTTCGTGACAGCTTGCATCAAGTCTGTTCGTGACAACTTGCATCAAGTCTGTTCGTGACAACTTGCATCAAGTCTGTTCGTGACAACTTGCATCAAGTCTGTTGATGACAACTTGCATCAAGTCTGTTGATGACAACTTGCATCAAGTCTGTTGATGACAACTTGCATCAAGTCTGTTGATGACAACTTGGAACAGACTTGTTGTCAACAAGCTGTCGCAAGCCATGCGAACGCATCCTGATATCGGCTTGTTGATAACAAGTCTGTTCCAAGTTGTCAACAGACTTGTTGCAACTTGGGCGTTTCTGGCTGTGTTATGTAGACGATATCAATATGGCGGTACAAGCCACAAAGCCGGGATTGAGGTACAAGGAAGGCAAGTTGTTCACAAATGAGACTAGTATTGATGAAGACCAAGGAATGAGTGCTGATAAAAGAACAATGAACCTCATCAAGCAAGTGGGAGACGACATTCACCCCTCTATTAGACTGGACATAGATTACCCCTCGAAACAAGAAGATGGAAAACTACCTATACTAGATTTGAAGTTTGGGTAGAGGACAGAGAGAAAGAGGAGCAAGGGCGAGTGAAGAAAGTGTCGACAATTTTGTACGAATATTACAGGAAGGATGTTGCTTCAAAAGCGGTAATTAATGCAAGGTCAGCACTGTCGTGGAGTACAAAGAGAACACTACTGACACAGGAAGTGCTGAGAGTATTGCTAAACTGCAGTAAGTTAATACCGTGGGAGAACGTTGTGCAAATGGTTCAGGAGATGGTATTGAGAATACAGTATTCGGGGTAGAGCAAGACGTTTCGATATGAGGTGGTAGACTCGGCGCACAAGGCCTACAGAGTAAGGCAAGACTAGGAGGAGGAAGGAATAAGACCGCGATGCATAGACCTAAGAGTTGGAATAAGAATGAACGAGAACAGGCGAAGGTATGGAAGGAGAATTGGTAGAAGAAAAATGGTGATGAATCTGTAATATTTGTGCCACCAACACCAGGATAAGAGTTGCAGAGGAGATATCAAAAAGAAATTAAGAGACAAGGGTTTAAGATCAAGGTAGTGGAGAAGTCAGGTGCCACCCTCAAACATATGTTACAGAAGACGGATCCGTGTAGATCGCCAAGATGTAACAGAGTTAACTGCCTTGTGTGCCGTACAGAAGGGAAAGGAAAGTGTGATCGAGAAGGATTCACGTATGAAATTAAATGTAATGGATGTGATAGTGAATACATAGGACAGACGGCGCGTAGCGCATACACAAGAGGAGTAGAGCACGTAGAAGCACTAGAGAAGAAAAATGAGAGATCAGTGTTATGGAGACATTGTGAAGAGAAACATGACAACGAGATACAGGAGTTCAGAATGAGCGTAACAGGAATGTATAATAATGACGTTATGGCAAGACATATAGCAGAAAGCGTAAGAATAAGTAAAGTGCCAGAAGGTAAATTAATGAATACAAGAGAGGAATGGAACTTCTTCCAGCTTCCCAAAGCTGTAGTGGAGGACTGATGCGAGTTTTGGTAGAAAGGACAAATGAATGATATATACACCAAGTACTGCAGCGATAGACTATTTAATAAGTATTACACCAAGTACATATTATATTTTAAAGATGGCGAACAACTGACGAGGTTTTATACGAAATATATTTTGTGAGCAATTTGTTTAGTAAATATTTTTAATTTTAAATAGAATGTTTTAATACATATCGTTTCTGAGTGTCTGTTATAAATATAAGTACGTTGAAAGAGTAAAGACAAGAAAGAAATGTCGATTATTAAGAAATAAAAATATCCATCATTCTAAATAATGCTGACTTAATTAAATATGAACGATATCTTATCAAGGCACGTCATATTGCCCTCACGAATGAGATCATCTGGTGTCAGACGGAACAAAATAACAAAGCAAAGCGCATGCATAAGGTATATTTACATGCGGCATTAGAATTAATTAGAGATGTGGGCAGATAATTGGGTTAACCGAATAATCACGTTTTCCCATCAAGTTTTTCTTGACTCTCGAATATGAATTGTGCATGTGAAATACATCCTTCATGCAAATGAGTGATTTTTTTATAGTTTTCGAGATTGAGATTTTGGGTTGAGAGCCATTTATCTCGTTGTACCGGAGAAACAAATTTCGGAAATCATACAGTTACATTACATTATATGATTTCTTCTTGAGATTCTACTCGTGATGTAAATGTATATAGGTGTATTGTTCTTCTTGTGAACATGAGCCGGGCAAGCAGAAAATTAATCAGTACGTACTTGAACACGGCTGGAAATCGAACCCGCGACCTCCGCATTTCACGCTTTACCTTCTGAGCTACAAGGCTAAGTTGGGAACAATCTATTTATTTGGGATGTTAATGACATATCATGCAGTCGTATAACTTTGACAAAGTGTTGCTATTTGGTTTGCGTATGGTGCGCCGTATATTTTCAA